CTTGAGTAAGTATCTCCCAGCATCACATGTGGAGTCTGAGCCAGCTACTAAGGAAGCAAACCCAAATGCTATGTTAATCCTCTGTCAGATGCTCCCCAAAAGCTAAGGGTACTTCTGAGAACTGCAATAAGCAGATGATACACAGCAAAAGTCATTAGGCTGCTCAGACTTGTATGGCTGAGCCTGGAGAGGGCATGCAAAGACTTTCCTGTATGTTCTCCCTCCAGCCCAGAATACAGAGGATGATCTGCTTTAATACAGTGAAACAGGAGAGTTACCAACAGCTCTTTCACAAAAGCATGCCAGCTGCTCTCTATAGAGACAGAAAATAACTCACTCATGGGTGAGGTGATGTTCCTGTGGCAATGACTTCTTTGCAAAGCAAGGTTTTCAGCGGAAGGCCCTTAAGGGTTAAATACCCTCCCTGTCTCCTCCTTTTCTCCACCCCCTCCCTCCTCCCCACTCCAGCAAAGGATCCTTGTGAAAGAATCTGTATTCTATATGCACCAAGAGAGACTCTGGTCTGGGCTTTTTAATAAAGAGCAATTCCTTTGCATTCTCAGGTGTCCCCTAAAATCAAGCTCCGATATTTCTGCTGCATTATTACCATGGTCTGTAGATGTCTTCAGACTCAGAAAAGCCGTTTGCTCTGCAGGTAAGCTTTGCCCCTGCAGTGCCGAACAGTTTCTCTCTGTTAAGAAAAGCCCCTCTAGAGAAATTGGTACTTGGAGCCAATTAATGGACCTCTTCCACCTTCTGTCTTGCCAGTTTTTCTTGGCAACAGCATCCAATCCCTGTGGCTGAGGAACCGGTCCTTACAACATGCCATTAAAAAGTGAAACTGGGGAAATAGCATGTGTAACCTCAGCAAAAGGGAGGTGCCTGAAACATTGCTGCCCTTACTTTTTTCTAACCTGTGCACCATTCTTAACGATGCACTTCATGATTCAGCTTTTGAGGTGCCGCTAATTAACTCCGGAGAGCATAAGAGCTGCATGGCACCGAGATAAATTTAACTCTAAAGATGAGCAAAATCCCCATATTACAAGCAGGGGAGAACGGTGTTCCTGGAATCATGAGGAAATGAGGAGTGAATACTTGACTCCCAAAGGTGCAACTGCTCACCAACACCTCTGACCACAGGGCTATCTCTAGATAACCACATAAAACCGGGACTTTATCAACCACCTGAGATCTGGGATGAGAAAGAGCCATTCTGTACAGCCCAAAGTGAAGGTTCAAGCTCTCCAGCACCTCTGCCAAAATCCCCATAGACCTTCCTGGGCTGAGAAGACTGCATTAAACTCTCTAAATTACTGCATCAGAAAATCCCCTCTTCTTCTCCAAGCAGACTGAATGAAGGGGGGAAATTTAGGCTCAAATTTAGTTTAAATGCAGGGCTTGGAATCAAGGGATCATGTTTGGGTTCAGATTCACAGATTCTTATCTCTTCAGATATGATAGGCTGACCTCCTCCATTGTCCAGGTCACGCAATTGCAATTAAAAAAAAAAAATAAAAAAAATCTGTATTGAGCCCCTTAACTTCTGTTTGAGCTACAGAGTATTTCTGAGGAAGACACGCATTCTTGATTTGAAGAGATCAAACCATGGAGAATCCATCACATACCCCAGTAAACTGTTCCAGAGGTTAATTACTCTCACTGTTAAAAATTTGTACCTTATTTCCAATTTGAATTTTTCTGGCTTCAGTTTCCAGCCATTGGACCTTGTCATGCCTTTGAGTGCTCAATTAAAGAACGCTAAAGCATCAGATACCATTTCCATCTGTCAGTGCTTAAACACAGAAATCTCAGTAGCTGGTTCTCATGAGGTTTTTGGCAGGGTCTGAACTACCAACAGTAACTTTTCTGTCTGTCTTCAGATCTGACTTAGATGCCAAGTCAAAAGGGTGAATGTAATTAATTTTTAATAATTTGTGATTCCTGTGAGAGCTGGGCAATAAATAGATCTGATTGAAAAAACTCTAATTAATCTCTTTTTTTTATCAGAATTCACCATTTTCTCCACAGTTAAGTGTTTCCCTGGAAGAGTCCAGCTTCAAATGAAGGCAATGAAGGCTGAGCAGGTTCTGCCCCTACATGTGCCCAGAGCCTGGACCATCACGGCATTTGCACTCAGCATCTCACAGCAAGTCGGCCCATGATGTGGCTATAACATTACAGGGCAAAATGAAACTGCAGTTCCCCTGGGAGCTGGATTGCAACCAAAACAACCATCCCTACCGTGACACTTCTGTCCCCCCAGACACCTCTGGAAATGAACCCAAACATATCCCATGAGAGTGTTGGAGGGTTTTCCTCCTTCCTCTGCTATGGAGCAAATCAAATTCTTGACAAGCAACTCACAAAAAATCATCTACATCTTCAAATGAATAGCAAATGACATCACGTCCCAATGTTATGGGACAGGCACCCTTCTTGGTAACTCCCATTCCTCATTGGTACCTGCCCAAATGAAGATACAGTGATGCTTCCACTAACAGCACTTTTTCTCTTTCTAAAGATCCACAAACAGCTTTAGACAGCAAAAAACGGTGTCAAAGGAGACCTGGACAAGACTCACGAATTCAGACTGCCTGAATCTGAACAGATGGAGCAGTCAGTGACTGCTTCCAAGTGAACTTTAGATGGATAGGTGGGAAAATGGGGACTTGTGACGGAACCAGACTTGCAATCTCATTTTTGGAGCTACTGCCACGTCTCCTGCATACAAGATGTTACTTCATTGCTACTCTGATACGCTGCTCACAAGCCAGCTATTAGGATGAACTATGCTTCCTGCAGAATGGTACTTGCCTGCTTGAGGCAATGGTGCCATATTCTGTCATTGAATTAATTTGCCATATGACAGGCAGACAGAGTAGTCGAATACACCTGGAGCCCAGTGATTCTGGCTTGCTTTCACAAGGGATATTTCCGCTATGCATGCAGCCTCCATTATGATTAGGGAAAAAAGGAACCAAGTTTATTTCCTAGACAAATATTAATTTGCTGGCCTATCAACAAAGGGTCACTTTGGGTTTTTAGTGCCTCAGTTTGAACAATTACTTCCCCCATTGCTTTTCTTATTCAGCCTGAAAGAACAAGATACTACTGCAAAGATCCAAACTCACAGGTGAGAATATATGCAAGACCTTATAGCCAAGAGCCATATGGACTTGGATAAATCATTGTAGCAAATCCTCAAGGTCTGTCCAATTCAGCTACAGACTTTTTTTTTGTCACAGTAAGTGTTCAGAAAATGAAAACAGGTTACAAAGGTCTATTATTTCCTATAAAATACTAAATGCTTACCTGGGGGAGGCTGATCCCTGTGCCTGACATCTGCTTCTATAAAGCCAGATCCAGCAGGTCACAGGGAAGAGGCTTGTACAGGAACTGAGAACCCTTTTGGTGGATGATACTATTCATTAAGAATCCTGACACAAAACCAGAGACACCTATAAACAGAAAAGACCTCACATGTTCCCCCTGCCTTTCCTCTGGCCACCACAGGACTGTTCCCAAACCTTCACCTGTCCACAATAGCTTTAAATGCCCTTGAGCAGGGAAACCCACCCTACAAAAGGCAGTTCTGTGAACCAGGGGAACCCAAATGCTCCCCTTCTGTTGCTGACCTCGGGGACAGCCCAGACCACCTTTGTCTGCTACACGCTTATACCTCTCCCAAGGTCAGATTTTCCAAGCCTGTGGGCAAGAAATCAGGCAGCAGGAGGTCGGGCTCATTTCTCACATTCTTCAGGTCATCTTTCCCAAAGATTTCTGTTACTGAGCCTATTTTTGACCCCATAGCCTTGGCCAACTTAATCTTCCTATTATCAGGGGGAAATAGTGATAGTGTTTATTGTATCTACCTGCCTCAGATTTATTGTACCCAGATGGATGACTCTGGGCTGTGTTTTCTATTAAGAAGTATCTTTATTTTATCACATCAGTAAGAGAGGTATGCAGGTCCTGAAAGCTATTCAGCTCAACCATCAGACACATAATATTTTTTCGTTGCTAAAGAAAACTGCAGGAGTTACTAAGGCCTTAAATTAGCAAAACTGAGTATAAATGTAGCTTAAAAATACATGCTTAATTCCCATTTAGACCATGGGAAATTAGAGTTCAATTCCAACAGGCACCTTTAGTTTTTTATACATACATTTATAAATATATAATTACATGTTAGCTGAATAAGTACACCTCAAAGCACGTGCTTCAATATATTGCTGAATCAAAGCTCAAACACCCTCCATACAACCCTGCAGCAAAACACAATAGCGTTATTGGAAATACTATTAGCAGCAACCACATCTTTTATAAAATGCAGTTTTAATGCTAGGAAATGTCCTGGGTTATCTAACCTAATCAAAACACCAGTGGCTGCTAAATGACAAGACCTGCATTTGATCTCGCCTTTATACAGCGAATGCGGGAACACAAGCTCATAAACAAGTGAGGAAACACATTTAACCAACAACCCACAACTTACTTTCAACAAGCTTACCGATGTCAGCACATGCGATAAAATTAGCCTGTTGGAGTCTGCGATTTTGGCATGATTATCTGCTAATTACATGCTGTAAGCTGAGAGGGGTGGGCTTAGCAGCTCGCCGGGGGCTGCTGGCTGCTTGTCTTCCCACAAAACTTGCTCACAAGGCATCTAAAAATAACTTTATAGGCAAATCTTCTTCTGAAGAGAGAGGAAGGGCAAAACAAAAGAGCACAGACAGCTTAACCTCTTCATGCCCAAATATCCACACTTGCAGCAAGATATCCAACATCCACATCAGAACAATTTAAACCTTTGGCTCCTTTTCATCAAGAAGCCAAGACCTAGACCCTCTTCTTTATCTCATTTCTTCCAAATTCATCTTTCTACATCTTCACCTCTGCCCTATGCCTTTAGCATCCAGCACACGACCATTCACTCTGTTCCACAAGTTGGATGCTTTCAATCCCAAATGAACGTTTTGGACTCTGCTACAACGTACCTACTAACTGAGGATAACCTGCTTTCACGCACAGCGAGGACAGGTTGTCCTGTCTCCTCAAGCCCTGTGGCTGATAGCAGCACAGGTTACACGCCTGCACGGACAATATGAGCAGAGGTTTATCCAGCAGCTTTCATGTGCTTGATCTTCTCTGCCCTGCTTCTGTTTCCCCAGCAGCAGCTGCTGATTTCCACCCAACTCTGATTTTATGCAGAGGATGTATTCATCCCAGTTCTGTTCAAAGGATGCAAGTTACCTGTGTCCTGGAGTACGTGTGGGAAAATATGATGATGTTCATTGTCACAGGCATACGACAAGTGCGTGATCATTTTCAGTAGTTATTTTGATAGAGTAAATCTATCAAAAGAGTGAAATAGCTAAGTGGATGAAACACAAGCAAAATTTTATCCATTAAGCAATTCTATTAGGTTACCAACCAAAGGGAGTTATTGATTCAAGGAGCACAGCGTGAGTGACGAAATACTTATGAGCATCAAAGACCCACTGCAGTCAATTACTGCTCACAGTCAGGAACTGGAGCTTCACATTAGGAAAGGATGTGTTTTTCCAGCATCAGTGATTTGGTGAAAAACTATGCTGTTGGCACTAAATATGATAGAGCATGTATAAGGACTACAGACAACTGATCATACAGGGACTATTTAAGCTCCTCAACAAACTAATTATCCTGCTAATAATAAGCAAACCAGATGAAAGCACAAAAACACAAACAGACTGCACGTAAGACTTGTTCTCCATGAAGGTTGAACTCATACTTTTTTATACAAAATTCAAAAGAGATCAAGCTTATCCACTTCTTGGACAATCAGTCATGTTTTTCATCGCAAGTTTATCTCCATATTCAATCTGATGAACTTCTACCTTAGTCTAAAGTCAACCAACAACATTAGCAACTGTTACAGCTGAAGTCTCCCTGAGACAGCAGATGGGCAGGTGGGTGACATCTACAAAAAACACACAGTTAAAAGCATAATTACAAGGAGGAACAAAATGACAACTTTCAAAAATAAAGGCCAACTCCTATGGGCAGTGGCAGAGAAGCAGCGTTAGAGGCAAAAGCTATAGCTAAACCTCATTAAGGATCCTAAACTTTCCAAATGACTTCATATTGCCATGCAGACAAGATGTCATTTTTTTAAAGGCTTAGTTTTTAGAGGTAGCTGAAAAAGAGGTGAAGACACTCACACATCTTGTACACCTTTCCTGCCTTTCATCCAGATTGAAGACATGAGCCAGGCCTATTATGTATTAAACTGAAATACAACCACACTTGCAAGTCTCCTGATGCTTGCCCATCATTATGCTTCCACTTGTAGATAAGGCTCAGCTTGTTTCCCCAAAACAAAACTCAGTATCTGCTGAGGGAAAAGCAGAAGATTGCTGGCAGAAGGGAGGCATTTTGCATAACCATTTCCTTTTTTCTGCATTAAACCCCCTCCCTGTATAGCTCCTATGTGGATAGAATTAAATTATTTTTAAAGCTCGTTTTTCTTCCAATAGCATCACCACTGTTTTCCACTAGAAGCAAATGCACATAAACACAAGTTCCACAAGTTCAAGCTGATTTAACAAATCCCCCTGTTCTCTGATCCTATTGTTCCTTGGCGGGGCTGGCTAACATCAGCTTTCACAAGTCAGAAGAAGCTTCCCCCTCCCCATAGCGTGGGATCCACTGGGAGCTTTGGCTTCAAAGCGTGTGTTTTGTATTCTTTTTAATTCTCAAATGCTAAAAATGAATTGGGGAACTAGGACAGCTGCTGGAGGCTGTTGCAAGGCAGTAATTTAGCAGGGTTTATGAAGCCAGGCACCCTGCCTTTTACAGAAAACATTGTATTCCTCAGAGACATTTTAAAATAATAGGATAGGATATAGTACTAGTATTTGCTCATGTAAATTGTTTTTCTTCACCCTTTTTTTATTCTGTTGGCTGATGCAAAGGATTAAAAGTATCAGCGTGTGGAAGTCATGCAGGCAAACCCTCATTTTTACCCAACTTGGATATCGTCAGCCTTCAGTCTGAGAGCTCAGAGACTGAAACCAATGGGTACACTGCAACCGAAACTGCTTGCAACCTAAAATGTCACAAAAAAAGGAGCTAGTTTCTACATTTTATTCCCTGATTGATATTGGGATTGATATTTGATTATTGATATTGGATTCTTTTCTAGCTGTCTGGTTCAGGGCAGGGATTGTAGTGTGGTACGTGTGGATTTTCCAATGTGGATGCGTGTGTGCAACCCTGCAAAGCCAGTCCGTGCCGTCCGGCACAGGTCCAGGCTGTGGATGCGCCCACACAGTTCCGCGTGCACTTCTGTGCAGGTGAGCAGGGACACAACTCATGCTATCACTTAACGCACCTCCTGCATGGCTGCACATAATGTGTATCTGCCGCAGGAGGCTGGATGGGAGTTAATTTTCTGTGCAAACATCTTACTGGAAAAAGAAAGCGCTGGTGTATATGGCCAAGTTGCGCTTTCAGCTTCACCTCCTTGCAGAGCCTCCTCCTTCCACCCCACTGTCCATGACGTCCCAGCAGACTTGCCACAGACCATTTCTATGCCATACCCAAGAGGCAAGAGAGGGCAGGTTGGTCCCAGCACCACCACCTCACTGCTGGGTGCTTTGCTGTGAGTGGTAGTATTGCACAGTTTGTAGTGGCCACCATCTAGCAGCTCTCTTTAAAAAAAAAGAAAGATGCTTAAAGCCAGAGGTGTAAAGGCTCTGGCTTCTCCTAGGGCACAAAAAATGGGATTTTTGACACAATCCATTTTCTGCCCAGTGGAGAGGTGTGAAAGTGCAGAATTACAGACACAACAGATTAGAAAAAACATTATTTTGTTGTGAGCAAAATGTATAATCTGAACCAGCCTGGGTTTAAGAAGATTTGCCACAGTCTAGGCAGAATTCCCACATTCTTCCAGAAGCTCTAGGTTTGGAGCAAAGCTATCCAGCAGTATACCATGGGCTGAATATCCTTACCATCCAGCAGTGTATCATATCCTCAGCTCTGAGTAAGACCCACCAAAGCAATAGGGCAAGGACTTGTCCAAGCCCAGGACACCACCAGTCATGCTCCAGGCCTTTCAAGGCTGCCCACAGAGAAGGCAGCCCTGCAGCTGCGCTTCTGTAAGAGCAGCTTGAGACCTTAGACTGCCAGACAGCCACTGAAACAGAATTTGTCACAGATGCTGCTACTACTATCAAGAAGGTCACTCGTCCCAAGAACATCCAAGACCCAAGATTAATTTTGGGCCATAAAATGCTCTGTCCATATGTCCAGAACAGATCAAATTTGGATTAAAACCAAATTTTTAAGGAACTCCATAAACACTCTTCCCACAGGAGCTGGGTGATCATCAAGAAGACCTGCACAGTCCTTCATTAACCTCCTGACGTGGCTGTTGGTCCCAACTGGTTTGATACTACCTCTTTCCATAAAAGCACATGCTTTCCTGACTGTGTACAACATGCATAATGCATCCCATCATCATGAAAGCATTTCTCACCAGCATGGCGTTTTGGAAGTCTGCAACATGCCAAATCAATTGTCCATCTGTTGGCAATTTTACAACATGTAGAGCATAGACTGCACTTGATTTTCTTCACTACATCACTTACCTATCAATATCCAGAGTCTCTCTTCTCTCAAAACAAGTATTTCATTTTATTAAAAAAGACCAAGGCAACCTATTGATGGTTTGGTACCAATTCCACAGAACAATTCAATATGTGTATGAATTTATACTTCCATTAATCAATACTTATTCATAGATGAAGTGAAGGAATAGCCTTCTGGGCACATATGTTTAGCGTCAATTCATGACTACAAGCTAAATATACCTCCCATGGCTCCAAAAACCTCAAACAAAGAGCTCCTGTTCACTTGAGATGCACAGCCAGGGTCAGGTAAAGGTTATGAGTTATCCCTATCTCAAGGTTACTTACACAGTACATAAACTCCAGGATCAAGTTGCAGAGTCTGCAGCAATTGCTCACTCAAAGTCAATCATCTTCAGTGGAGACCAAGTAAAGCAGAGGCCTTTGGGTCCACCCAGTTTCCAGGAGTGAGCTTTGCTGTTTTATCAACTTTCTGTCTCCAGGGAGCCTCCTTGGATGTCAGGGCTTCTACTGTCAGCCCTGTGAACCAGTTTGAAACAACATGACTATTACAATTTTTTGACATATTTTGGAGTGACTTCAAAATCAACAGAGCAGGAGAAGTGAGGCAAGGTCAGGAAGAGAGGTGTGAGAGGGCCCTGTGAAGGTCTGACCGCCTAGACACAAGACGAGCTGTTATTTCACCTTGAGACGCATCTCTGGCCAAAGGTGCACCAGGACCACAGTTCACAGGACTTCTCTGTGGAGGGCTGCCATCTTATTTAAAAATCAGCAAGCAACCAAGTATGTTCAGCTTATCCTTCACACCCAAAGGCTCAATAGCGAAGAACAATGTTGTCTTACAAAGAACAGCCAGGAAAATGAAGTACCCAAATTCTCTATGATTTTCATGTCTATTAAAAAAGTATTTACCTTAAAAGAAATATATAACCTAATAATCAGGAAAGATAAAACAATGAACCACTGTTATGCCTTAAATTTGTGCATTCAGCGAGGCAAAAACTTCAACTTGCGAGTACATTTTGCAGTTCCTCTTGGAAGCATCCACCAGGATCTCATTTGCTTTAAAGGGATTTCTTCTGAAGAATGGGCATGATTGCACTGCCCATATTCACAGTCCAAGCATCTGATGGGACGATCGCTATTTTGAAGATTATGATCAGCCTTTACATTTAAAAAATTAATTGCTCACTCTCACCAGCAAAGCACATATTTGGAAGAAGGCTTGTTCCCTTCCTGCTGTGGAATTCTCTTAGCAGCACTAAGTCCTGACAAATTTCTAGCCTGTCTCACTGGGGAATTTGCAAGGCTTAGGCCGGTATTATTTGCAAAGTGCTTTGAAACTATTCTATGAAAGCTTTACATAAATACAAAGTATTATTATTGTATTACTTTTCCTAAGCTTTCACCCAGACTGTGGAGCTTTCCACTTCTCACATAAGCATGT